AACCCACGAATCTCTTAACCTTCGTGACATCAAGTGGTTAACGAATTCGGCTAGCGACGCCGATTTCGCGGTCGGTCTTTTCAGTTGAACCATCCCAGCATTCACCTGGATGACCAAGGGAAACCATGAAAACCGCGGTTAGGACGTCCGGCACGGAGATTGAACCTGGGCCTCCCGAATGCGAAGTATACGCGCTACACGCTGAGCCACTTCGCTCGGTTCCCATGCATTACTCTCCCACATTTTGTTTCATAGAAAGTACTGGCACTCGGTTATACATGTTTCCAAACCATTCTAATGTCTATTACATGATGCACATTCCAGACCTGCACGTCATTTTCTGCATTGAAAAATTGCTTGTGGCAAAATTGCTCACAGTAACGCACTTCTGTAGTTACCCGAGTAGCCAAGATTTCTTCTTTTATTACTTTATTTATGCCACAAAATATCCATTTACTATATTTTCAAAGATGAAATTCTTATTTCCAATTTGTTAAATTTTTAAATTTTGTTAATCGTTAATAAATTCTCACAATGTATTATAATATTACCAATTTTAGACTAGAAAAGGAAAACGTAAAACGTATAATTAACTGCAAGTGATATTTATGAATGGTAAAATATTACACAAAAAGTGCTAAAATTTTCGCGTGTAAAATAAATATTTGTTTTGATATCTTCGTGGTATTGAGAACACACTACATTTAAATGAGATCTCTTCTTATTCGCTATTAATTAACGGTTCCTGATGTTCATGAGAAATCGGATGGGAACTGCCCATTGAGAGCATAGTGGCCGTGCGAAAGCCCCTGTGAAAAGGTGCCTCGGGGTCCCGCAGAAAGGCGTTCCTCTACGCTCTGAAGGAGAGTTTCGGTCTGTGATTAATTAATATAATTTATGCATGTTTCAAAGTGTATTCATGAGTTGTTGATGAGCTGTTCTCTCGCAAAATTGGTTCACTTTCTCACGTGATAATTTACGTACTAATGCCGTAAAACTTTCATTTCTTAACGAATACGATTATGATATGGATTTTTTATTTATCGAGTCATCGATTTGCATTGTCGATTGACGTTTAGAAAAAGAATATTTCAAAATATTTTTGCTTGATGTAATAAAATTGGAATTAGAATTCAGCAAATGAAGGTCATAGCGGATCATCATTTATACACCCTGAATATTGTTTAAACTAAGGGAATTTTCAAGAAAATGTTTACCAGACTGAGTCTTTTGCAAGCAATTATTGAGTTTGCAGCGTCCTTCCCACTCATCTAGGAAGCTCGCTAGTCTTAGAGAGTGAGTAGGAGGGTCGTGTGTCAAGTGTGAAATAGCGACGTTTTCACTAATTGACAAATAATGTTTGAAATGGTAGAAATCTTGTAGAATCTTGGTGGGCTACCTAACAGTTACGTTGTTCCATTAAATGTTCGTTTTGTTCGTACACAAGAAATAATTGTTTCCTTAAGGGTATGAATATTTCTTAAGGGTATACGAATACCTGCCTATAAGATATATACCAACCACACGTTTTAGATTGCAGACGGTCCACAATAAATACAGAAGAATAATCCTTAAATGTACCTGATTTATAACACACCAAACACGAATAATTCTGCACATATCTCTGAAATAGATTTTCAATATTTTACTTTTTATTCCAAGGATCAATGATTTTTCTTTTAATATAACTGTTTGGTTTCATTGAATACGACTACGTCCCTGAGAAATATGCCGAGGCCAACCCTTATTGTATTTATTTTATTCCCCCGCTACAACCTGACCGAAAATACTGAATTCCAGTGAAAATTAATTTGTATAGGCTTGCTAGTTAATAGTAATTACATTTTTTTGAACCTGCCAAATTTTCACTAGGTAGATGAAACTGAGAGTAATGTTTTTTCTCCCGATATTTTAGGTATCTTATATTCGTATCATGCCCTTTATTGTCACTTGACTGTAATAAAAAGATACCGAATCAAACCGATGCAAACGTGAGAGTCCCTTGCATCCATGTCGGGCGAGAACGTTTTACCCCTAGTGCACGCGCCCTGCCCGTGTTAACATCCCCTTAATGTGACAATAGTTGATGTTTAAATTTAAGAATTTTTCCTAGTAAATTGAGAAATTCAAAATCATTCCAATGTGTTTCACTGCGTGTACGGCCCACTACCTGTTTCAGAGCAGCCGGGCCAAGTGCTGAGATCAGTATATGGGGAAAGACAGGTGTGGATCGCACGAGTAATGTCAATAATGCCCGACACAACATAAATGGTTTTAGTTGCGACCCTTGAGGTGTTGCGAGTTACGCATGCCTGATTTAGAGAGCACCCGACCTCCGCTGTT